ATTCATGCAACCAAGCACAAAGGGCTCTCATTGGGTGGATCATAACAGCCGCCCCCTTTAAAACTAAAATAAGACGTATGAACATGGACATAATACAGGCCTACGCCCCAACAAATGACAGCAAAGAAGAGGACTAAAATGAGTTCTACAATATGCTAAAGACCATTATCCAGAATCGTCCAAAAGAGTAATCCTTATACTCATGGATGACTTAAATGCTAAGATTGGAAGCGAAAAAAGAGGATATGAAGACATTATGGGACAGCAGGGCTTAGTTGAGATGGAGAAAGATTATCTGACTTCTTCAGATGTTGACGTAAATAGGTGTTTAGTTTTTTCCTTTTCCTCCTATTAAATACAAAAATATATGTTTAATACTTTGCAGTTTTTGTTTGGTAATGCAAATACATGTATATAAACCAAGCGCTTACAATATAGGGTCTACTTCATACTAAAACGTTCAAAATATACTTATTTTTTCAACACTTTCTGGGCTCTACTTTTAGCATTTAGGCCAAGTAAAGATGTTGCCGAAATTTTTCGGATTTATAGCATAGCAAGGTGCACATGGCATATTATTGAATTTTCGTGGACGTCCACGAGGGGGGAGGGGGGGGGGGGGGGGGGCTCGCGCGACGCGTGTAGAAGGGGGTTTGGGGAGGAAAGTGGTCTAAAATTCAAAATTTTGTGTACGTCATAAATGGATGACCCTTATGGCAGGTTTCACTATTCCTGTTCCTGCTGGCACTTGACTGGCTTATGAAAATATCATCTGAGAAAAAGTGAAACGGTATACAGTGGACAATAAGGAACCAGCTGGATGACTGACAGACGAAGGCCTAAAATAATTGGATAAATTCACCTACCCTGGAAGTATTGTTTATGTAAGCCCTGCTGGGGGGGGGGGGGGGGGAATAACTAAAATCTACCCTTCTAGGCTTATCTAACTACCGTCCGGTCAGTGCAAGTCCGGCTGAACCCAGACTGGTTAATAACCTTAACCTTAGCCTAAATAAAAACAAAAAAACATTTAACAATTAATCAAATTTATTAACTGGAACCAATCAAAATAGAGAAAAATAATAGATAAAATAAACTACAGACACTAAACAAAACAATATACACAAAACACGACGAAACAAAACTCAATGGGACAAAACACGACTAAACAAAACACAACGGGACAAAACACGACTAAACAAAACAGACTTTAACGTGACAAAACAATATACACAAAACAATATACACAAACACCCAGCCAAGTTGCACAAGCAACATCACTGCAAGCACGAGGTGCCCACACATAAACTGATTCGATCTACATTTCGCCTCGGGTCAAAAAGAAAGAAATTATCCGAGCGGTCAGTTTTTATACTGACCGCTTCGGGCGGAAGGAGAATCCCCGTAGCCGCTGTCCAGTGGACCATTCACTCACAGATTCGTACCCAATAAAATAATACAAAATAAATAATCCATTCACCCGCTCACATTGATAACATTGACAGACAAAGCCCTAGAAGAATTGGATAGATTCACCTACCCTGGAAGTATTGTTGATAACATTGGCAGACAAAGCCCTAGAAGAATTTGATAGATTCACCTACCCTGAAAGTATTGTTGATAACATTGACAGACAAAGCCCTAGAAGAATTGGATAGATTCACCTACCCTGGAAGTATTGTTGATAACATTGGCAGACAAAGCCCTAGAAGAATTTGATAGATTCACCTACCCTGAAAGTATTGTTGATAACATTGACAGACAAAGCCCTAGAAGAATTGGATAGATTCACCTACCCTGAAAGTATTGTTGATAACATTGACAGACAAAGCCCTAGAAGAATTTGATAGATTCACCTACCCTGAAAGTATTGTTGATAACATTGACAGCAGGGGCGGAACTACAGTGCCGCCAGACCCCGCAATGCGGGGGGGGGGGGGGGGGGGGGCACGCCATTTAGGGGCCCACGACCGACCCTAATAGTTTTATTATAGTTTAAAAAATCTAATTTTCTTGCAATTTTTGACTTGATGTTTGTTTTGTAAAACGATAACCATAGCTGCGGTTTGATTATCTTTATTCTATAGACCCTATCCCCACGCTCTTGTATATTCTTTTTCCCTTTCTTTTTAAACCACTGTGAAAGCCAAGTCCTCTCTCTTCTACAATTAAACTTAACAAAGAGCAGCAAACGTTCAAACCACTTCCATGACTTATTTCCCTTTTTTAAATAGTCATATTCGGGTGCTAATAAGCTCCTTTTAATAGATTTGTACTAAACAAATTAAAAAGCAATTACTTCTCTTACTAAATATTTTCTCATAAAGTACCTACTAAAGAATGACCTTATATAAAAAGAAAATGTATTTAAAATTAATAATATAAATACAAAAAAACAAAAATAATCATAACACGAGACACCATTACTTCTACAAAGATTTCATGTTTTATATTCTTTTGGCAATATTTGTTAAGTGAACCCAAGCAGATAAAATGAAACTGATGTTTTTCTCAAAATACACTAATGCACTTACACACATGACATGATGTAATAATTTGTTTGAATTTTAAGAAACCCCATTTTTTATCAAACCCCGAACAGGCCAGCAATGAGTATCCTATGCTCTGTTCGTATTTTATGTTTATATATATATATATATATAAATATATATATATATATATATATATATATATATATATATATATATATATATATATATATATATATATATATAGGGGGGCCTAAAAATTTTTTTTTGCGGGGTGGCCATTTTTTTCTAGTTCCGCCACTGATTGACAGACAAAGCCCTAGAAGAATTGGATAGATTCACCTACCCTCGAAGTATTGTTGATAACATTGACAGACAAAGCCCTAGAAGAATTGGATAGATTCACCTACCCTCGAAGTATTGTTGATAACATTGACAGACAAAGGGCAGACATAATAATAGGACGGACAAGGCAAGAGCATTCTTTAACCAACTAAAACATGTTTGGAGATCTGGAGATTTAAGTTTTAACCCTTGAAATAAAAATCTAGGTCTTCAACACACTGGTAAAACCAGTTTTATTTTCTGGAGCTGAGACATGGAGAATGACTTCAACAAATAAGAAGAAAATACAATAATTTATAACACAAACCTCAGAAAGATCCTTTAATTTCGCAGGCCTAAAACCATCAGAAATGAGGTACTATGGCAACGGACAAATCAACTGCAGCTAAAGAATAGATCATCCAGAGAAAATGGAAATGGTTTGACCACACACTCAGGAAGTCCGTGTCCAGCATAACAAGACAGGCCCTCAACTTGAATTCACAGGGCAAAAGGAAAAGAGGCAGACCAAGAAAGACCTGACCTGGAAGAAGACACCAAGAAAATTGGATTCACCTGGGGACAGTTGGAGAGACTAGCACAGGGCAGAGACGCCTGGAAAGTTCTCGTCAGTTTCCTTTGTCCCAGGAGGGGCGACAGGCAAACCTAACCTAGTTTTAAAAGAAGTTTTTAACGTTGGAATAGACGGGTAACATGATTATTATGTTTAAGCTATGCTATGAAATCCCGCGAACTCTAACATTAGAAAACATAATAATTAGAAAAAATAATTAGCTTAATTGAATACTTTTTAAATTTCTGTATAATTTATGCAATACAGTTTTTATGAAAATGCTAATATTTAAAAAAACAACATACTATATCTAAGATGTGGTTGAAACACTTGCTTATTTTCTATTCCAATGAAGTGTATCGACTTCGAATCAGGACAACACCTGTGTTTGAACCTAATAAACGAAGGGCTAACAAGCTGCAACCAGTTTTAATCTGCTTTGATCTTGTTAACTTAAAACCTCAGAAAATTGACCCTTATGTAAATGGACGAAGTAGAGTACAAAATATTTTAGCTTACTGTAGTAAGTGTTAAAAATAAAATAATCACATGTGTTACATAATTTTTACGCCTCGATTAACACAATTAGTTGTTATACTGAAAAACACAAAATAGTTGTAAAAAATATGCGCAAAAAATCAATCGAAAAACTAAGCAAGGAAAAGATAGACAAACAATTTTTCTAAATTCTAACTCTTGTAGGTGAAAAAGAGTGTAGTTTGACAAATTAGATCACGCAAGATAATCTATATAGGTAGGACCGAGATAAAAAAAAAATCGAAAGCTACAGACTACAAAAAAAAAATTAATTCAAAATGCACTAAAATAGTTTTGGCTGCAAGAAAATCATTTACCCGGGCGATCACATTTGCTTAATCCGCTGATAGAGTTCTTTTGATGTTAATCGGCATTTTAAAATTCCACCAGATTGAAGGTAATGTTAATGACGACAAAAAATAATATAAAAGCAAGAGGTCTTAGACTTGAAAGTCGACAGCAGTAACCCAGACTACAACAATACTATTAAAACAACAAGAATATAAAAAAGACGCTCGCCATGAAGATGTTAACGTTTCTGGTCCTGGTAGTCACGAATATTCTTCTCTGTCAAGGTAAACACAAACACAGCTCTAGAGTTTGTTGAGTTGATTTTTTTGGTCAACTATACACATCTCTAGTCTTTTGAGTTGATTGTTGATGTTTTGTTGTCAACTAAACACATACGCATCTCCAGTCTCTTAGGTTGATTGTTGATGTTTTATTGTCAACTAAACACATACACAGCTCTAGTCTGTTGAGTTGTTTGTTGATGTTTTGTCATCGTTGTAGTGGCAATTCATTTCGAACGATGACTAAAGTAGAAAATAAAATAAATATAAAAACCTTTATAAAAACCTTTATTGGATCAAGCTTTGAAATGCACTGGAAATGTAAAAAAATAAAACAACTTCATTTATAAAATCTTTGGTCTCTAAAATATATGTTCTCACAAGCGAACAATGCATTCAAAAGCTTGTTATTATAAAGTTTTATTTATTTGTTTATTTATTATTGGTATACACAACCATACGAGTCAATGTATACAACTTGTGTTTCAGTGGCTGGGGAAGATTATGAGGAGACAGCTTGTCTTGACTGCCAACAGTTGCTGCAAAAACAAAATAAAATCATCAACCAGCTGAGTCAAAAGGTCCGAAATTTGGAGGTAAATCCTATTACATACACTTTCAATTACTATATGATATCAAGAGAATTTGATGGTTCAAGCGTATTAATAAATTCAAATAGGGTTTGATTGGAAGCGTAAGACCATTTTTACATATAATCGATATGCTTAGCAAGCATTGTCTATTTGCTGACTTCCACATCTGACAAACTATGCGAGTGTTTCATGACTGTTTCAGGCCACGCCAAGATCAGGAGCCGAGTGGACACTGGCATTTCGTGGTACAGCTTACATAGGAAAATCTGTTTATGACGCCTATAAGGACGGTACTGGGATCCCAAGTGAGGTGGAACCCGGATGTAAACAGGTGCGTTGACCAGATAATGTTCGCTTGGTAAGGCTAAATATTTAAGGCTAGAACTTTTCTACTACATTGCTCTTTACGGCGATGCTGAATAGAAGCTGAAGTTTTTAATATTGTAAAAAATATCTTAATTTCAACCAACCACTAAGGGTTTAATCAATGCAAGTCAAAACTTGTCTTGAGGTTGCAAACATTAAAAAAACAATGAGTGTTATGGGTCTTGTAACGTTTACCTATCTATCAGCCAGATAGATGGTGAACGTCCCCGGATTCTTTTTTCGGGGTCGTATGCAAATGACTTACAGCCTAAGTGGATGAACACTAACACAACAACACACTAGGGCTCGAATTCGACGTCTAGGGAACACTAGTGATACTATTGAAATTAACACTCATCCAATCTGCATACAACCTTTAATAAGCGAACACAGTTGTGGCAGAACACAAGTTTAAACTAGATAAAATATTTAATTTATAAAATATCAAAACCCAACTTACAAAATGTAAGAAAAAACACTATCACAGATTTCAACACTGTAAAAACTAGCCACAGGCCACACAACACTGCTATAGCTTCAAGAATCACTTGGCGACAAGTAATTTTATATTAGAAGACTAAAACAACTTAAGAAAGCAAAGCACACACAGGACTTAAGTTCTCTCACGTTCAAATGGTCAGAATCTATAGCCGGACAATATGGACGGCTTGATCAAGGTAGACTGCCTGATCAAGGTAAACTGCCACGTGTGTCCTGTGTGCGGTGCAGTTAAAGACTTCTGCCACAGGGGAGGTCATCCTCAACTCATGTAGCCATTGGTTGGGAGGGTCATATGATCAGAATCATTCAATCAGATCTTAATGGAAAATTTCTACGTCTTAGACACCCTTGGTAAGACAGTGGAAAAACCCCAGGAGTTACACCATCACTCCCTATAAGGTATTATACAATGTCAAAATAAAAATGGAACCTGACTCGACCTAAGTAGGTCACATCCCCTCCCTTTTTGGAAGTGACAGATAGGTTCCACAAAAGCATACATAAGGAACCAATCTGGCAATGAAATAAAAATAAAAAAAAATGTTTTACAAATGTAGGCAATCAAAATCATAATTCCAGATGACAATATCCCTAAACATAAAAGGGAAGTAACTCAAACTTTTACAATTGGTGAAAGGGGAGTAACCCTTCAAAAGGTAATTATACATCAAAATCCCTCAAAAAAGGGTATTACAATATTTCCATGTGGATATTAAAAGTGGTAAACCCGCCAGGGTAAGACCTTTATTTCAATGACTAGCTACAATATCAACTGAGTCATATGAGACATATTATTATAAAAGATTACATATAATCAAAAACCACCTTTAATTAAGGTTCACCTGAAAATAAACAAAATATTCAACAGGATTGGAATTTTGAAAAATTCAAAACTCAAACCACTCATCTACATGTGAAAACACAACACCTGTGTATGGTCTCAATGAACCACAAAACATGTCACATGATCAATGTGTGCAATAAGATTTTACATCCTTGACAAACAATCAGCCACAACATTATCACTACCCTTAATGTGTGAAATTTCCAGATTAAAATTTTGGAAATATAAACACCATCTCAATATTCTTTGATTTGTCTGTCCTAACTTAGAGGTAAATTTCAGGGGATCATGGTCAGAAAACACTCTGACTGGATTGGTTGAAGAAGAGACATAGACTTCAAAATGTTGTAATGACAAAACCAAAGCTAAAGCTTCTTTTTCAATAGTAGAATAATTCTTTTGGTTCTCATTTAACTTCCTGGAAAAAAAGGCAATGGGATGGTCAATTCCCATGTTGTCTTCTTGAAATAGGACTGAACCAATGGCTAAGTTGCTAGCATCAATGGCAAGTTTAAAGGGCTTGCTGAAATCTGGGGCAGCCATAACAGGAGCATTAGATAAAAATGACTTAATGGTTAAAAAAGCTTCTTGACAATTACTTGACCATTCAAACTCAACACCCTTTTTCAATAATGCAGTAAGAGGTTCAGCAATAGCTGAAAAGTTTTGACAGAACCGCCTATAGTAACCAGCCATCCCAAGGAACTTTTTGATTTCTTTACAATTTTTGGGAGGAGGTAACCTTACAATAGCATCTACTTTAGCTTCAATGGGCCGAACTTGGTTCGTTCCCACTTGATAACCCAAATAGGTAATGGAACCTTTACAGAAATTACTTTTATGCAAGTTTACAGTAAAAATTCACTTCAGACAATTTTCTAAAAAGGTTAGTCAACTGAACAATATGTTCTTCAAAAGTATTAGAAAATACAACTATATCATCTATGTAGGCCTCACATTGGTTTATGTCAGCAATGACAGAGTTAATGACCCTCTGGAAAGTTTGACCAGCATTGCGCATACCAAAAGGCATACGTTTGTATCTATAAAAACCATTAGGGGTTACAAAAGCAGATATTTCTTTTGCACGGTCAGATAAGGGGATTTGCCAGTATCCTGAAAGTAAATCAATTTTGGAAATTATCTTAGCCTGACCAACTTTATCAATAACGTCTTCTATTCGAGGTAAAGGATAGGAATCAGCTTTGGTGAGCGCATTTACCTTCCTAAAGTCGGTCACAAACCTGAAAGATCCACCGTCTTTCGGGACTAGGAGACATGGGGAACTCCAGTTGCTGAAACTGGGCTCAATGATATCATTCTTGAGCATATAATCAATTTCATCTTTTATCAAAGCAGCTTTTTCCGGGTTAACTCTATAGGGGTGTTGTTTGATGGGTTTTGCGTCACATACGTCTACATCATGAGGTGGAACCTTCGCTTCTTTGGGGACATCCCCAAAAATAGAGGGAAATGTCTCAAATAACTGAGACAATCTCTGGCTTTCCTCTGTGGACAAATGCATAAGGTGGACATTCAAATTATCTAAAAAGGAAGAATTTACCAATTTTGGGGGTTTCAATTTATCATGTATCACATCATCAGAAACATTTGAACATACAGGTAAGGTAATTTTAGCTGTGGAATGAAAATTGTTACAATTATCATAATACTTTTTCAGTGAGTTAACATGATACACTGTCTGTTTCCTTCTTCTGTCAGGCGTGTTGACAACATAGTTCAAATCACTTAATTTTGAATGCACAGTAAAGGGTCCACAATATCTCAAGGATAACGCATTGTTCAGATTAGGCACTAGCACAAGAACTTTGTCGCCTGGATTGAATGTTCGTTTACAAGAACTCTTATCATACAGTCCTTTCATTCTCACTTGGGCCTTTCTTAAGTTCTTGTGAGCCATTTCGCACACGGCTTTCAGTCGAACGTGAAAATCGTCAAAGTTTTCCACAGGATGATCGCTGGTACCTGTCCACCGTTCGTGTATCAGCTTCAGGGGACCGCGGACAGAATGTCCAAACACAAGTTGAAAAGGAGAGTAGCCTAAAGAGTCCTGGACACAGTCCCTCGCGGCGAAAATAATCCAAGGAACAGTCTCATCCCATTGGGTGTTACTGTTAGCGAACGTTCTTAGCATGGTTTTGAGGGTTTGGTGGAACCTCTCCAGTACGCCTTGAGACTGAGGGTGGTAGGCTGAGCTGGTGATGTGGGTAACGCCTAGCTTGGCTAGTGCTTCCTGAAAATGGTGACTGGTGAAGTTGCTGCCTTGATCTGTTTGCACGATTCTAGGTAATCCAAAGGTAGTGAAGAACCGGGTCATGGCTCTGACTACAGTCTTTGCCTTAATGTTCCGTAAGGGAATCGCCTCGGGAAAACGGGTACTTGAACACATAAAGGTAAGTAGGTACTCGTTGCCCGCCTTGGTTTTAGGCAAGGGACCTACACAGTCCATGACGATTTTTGAAAAGGGTTCTTCTAATACAGGAATCGGACTCAAAGGGGCCTTAGGAATTGTCTGGTTTGGCTTTCCGGCCAACTGACAGTTCGTGCAACTTTTACAGTAACGCGACACATCATTTCTCATTTTGGGCCAAAAGAACAGTTCTTTGATCTTCGCCGTCGTTTTAGTGACTCCTGGGTGCGCTGACATTGGATGGTCATGTGCCAGCTTAAGTATTTCATGCCGATAAGGTGGAGGGACCCACAGCTGGTTTTTACCCAACCATGGTTCGGCTGGTGAGGCATTCACTGGTATAGCGCGACGAAAGAAGAGGCCGTTCTCGGAGAAATATTCCCCATCGTCAGATGATAGAGATTTTTCGACCATTGCCTTGAGTTCCGCGTCGACTTGTTGAGCTTTAATGATGTCTTCCTGAGATATTCTCAGGGGTAAGCCCAGGCTTGTGTTTTCTGGAAGCATAGACTCCAATTTGGGAGTCGACTTTCTTGACGATGATGGTAGGTGTGGTTCAGACGTTGTGTCAGCCAATTGTTTGGTCTGGCTTCTTGTAACCACACATGCAGGATACAGTTCATTATCATTATCAGGAACTGTTGACAAAGGGTCTGAAACCGTACAGGGGTATACTTTGCTTCCCGCAAGGTCATTCCCTAGAAGTAGGTGTACTCCTGGGACAGGAATACTATCTATCACACCTAAAATGACTTCACCTTCGACGAGATGATGTTTCAGAGCAAACTTGTGTAAAGGGACGACAGTTGATTTTGTCCCCACTCCCTGGATAATGGAAATCCTTCCGGTGTTCGTCTCTGGTGTAATGTCCATTGAACTTTTCAAAAGAAGTGAATGTGACGCTCCTGTGTCTCTTAGGACGGTGATATTCCGCTGAGACAACGGATCACCTGGTTTGCTAATGATGGCTTCGGCAATAAAAGATGAAAAGTCAACTTTTCTCGATCCCTCGAGATCGGTAGACTCGGAAGAAACTGGATGGTGGCGAGAACAGTCAAAATGTGACTGCACATAATGTGTGGAGACTTGACTACCTTCTTGCGGACACTTAGGGTTAGAGTCCTTTAGAATTCTAGAGTTCATATTTGAACCGGCTGCTTGAGGGGATAGAGCATAGTGCGCAGACGTACGCACCACCTCTCTGTTATATTGACGACGTTTGTAACAGTCCTTGACAAGATGACCAGGTCTTTTGCAGAACTGGCATACTGCTCGACGATTGAGAGTTGATCTTGGGTTCTCTCTGGACTGTGATGCCTTCACGTATTGGCCAACAGGAGGATTGCTGCCAAAAAGGGGAAGCACGGGGTTGAGGCGGTTTCCTGACACTGGTGGTTTCTTATGCACCAACATATATGTGTCAGCCGACTCAGCAGCCTTCTGGACGTCAATTATCTTGTTATCCAGTATGTGAAGTCGTATGTCTTCAGGCAGGGACGATAGGAATTCTTCCCTTAGGATAAGTGACCTGAGCTTCTCAAACTCAGAAACTTCCTCAGAGTGTAGCCACCTTGAGAATATTTTCTCCTTTTCAAAGAGAAATTCCACATATGATTGAGTGGGTAACTTGCGGAGTGTTCGGAATTTTGTCCGATAGGCCTCGGGCGTCAGTTCGTAGGCCTTCAAAATGGCAGTCTTGACCAAACTATAGTTATTTTGAACGTCGTGAGAGAGTGCCTGGTATGTTTTTGCAGCTTTCCCAGTAAGGACCGAGCTCAATAAAGCAGTAATGGAAGTTTCGGGCCATTCACATGTCTTCGCTAAACTCTCAAATGAGTTAAAGAAAACGACCAAATCTGTTTCATCAAATTTAGGCACTAATTTCCCAAATTTGGCAATTACTTGCCCCACCGACAACTTTTTTGGATCTACCAGAGAAGTGACATCACTAACTTTACCAAACTCTAATTCCAACCTCTTCCTATCTAAAGCAATTCTAACTTCTAACTCCTGTTCTTTTAATGCCTTCTCTAAAGCAACTTTCTCCTCACGGAGTAACACACCAGCCAACAAACTTTCATCAAATACCCCTTCATTAATAAAATGAACAACAATTTTATCTCTCAACACCTCTGACTTCTGCGTAACAGAATAATCCAATTTCAATTCCTTAACAACACTAACCAAAACTTTTCTACTCAACTTCTCTACCTGCTCAAAAGTGGGATTAGCCAAAAAAGATTCCATAACACTAACTTTCAAATCACAACAAGCCTAGGTTCACTAACTTAACACGGTGCGTTAGGCCGTGTACTTGACCTCTTCAATCTAGGACGTGACACGTCTGATTATTGACCTAGATACCTCTATGCTTGCGCGCGTTGTAAGCACACTGCGCTACTGGATAGAAAAACAACTACATCAAACTAAACTTAGTGCTTAACTGATATAACCAACAACTGGAACGACAGATTAAATCCCGGACGAGCCCCCACTTTGTAACGTTTACCTATCTATCAGCCAGATAGATGGTGAACGTCCCCGGATTCTTTTTTCGGGGTCGTATGCAAATGACTTACAGCCTAAGTGGATGAACACTAACACAACAACACACTAGGGCTCGAATTCGACGTCTAGGGAACACTAGTGATACTATTGAAATTAACACTCATCCAATCTGCATACAACCTTTAATAAGCGAACACAGTTGTGGCAGAACACAAGTTTAAACTAGATAAAATATTTAATTTATAAAATATCAAAACCCAACTTACAAAATGTAAGAAAAAACACTATCACAGATTTCAACACTGTAAAAACTAGCCACAGGCCACACAACACTGCTATAGCTTCAAGAATCACTTGGCGACAAGTAATTTTATATTAGAAGACTAAAACAACTTAAGAAAGCAAAGCACACACAGGACTTAAGTTCTCTCACGTTCAAATGGTCAGAATCTATAGCCGGACAATATGGACGGCTTGATCAAGGTAGACTGCCTGATCAAGGTAAACTGCCACGTGTGTCCTGTGTGCGGTGCAGTTAAAGACTTCTGCCACAGGGGAGGTCATCCTCAACTCATGTAGCCATTGGTTGGGAGGGTCATATGATCAGAATCATTCAATCAGATCTTAATGGAAAATTTCTACGTCTTAGACACCCTTGGTAAGACAGTGGAAAAACCCCAGGAGTTACACCATCACTCCCTATAAGGTATTATACAATGTCAAAATAAAAATGGAACCTGACTCGACCTAAGTAGGTCACAGTCTGCCCTAGCGACTTTCGTCTGAACCTGTTTTGTGTAGATTTTAACCAAATTAACCACGCTATTTTGTTCTTGTAACGCACAAAAAGTCACCCACCTCCTAAAATGACGTCATACTTTTGCCGCCATCTTTCCCTCACATAATTTTTTTCCAAAGTGGGTGTACTCAATCTATAGGGCTTTTAAACTAAATAATTTTTTCCTTTCGCATGAAAACGGCTTGTATTAAATTTTAGAAAATATGGTTCAATCTTCGATTCCTGATCATTTTTAAAAACAATAAAACAAATTTACAAAAAAAGCTTTTTAACTGTAAAACAAAATGCCCAAATTCACTCGGCGTGGTCGAGTCGGTAAAAGCTCATGGTTGCTAAACCAAAAAGTCTCGAGTTCGAACCCTCGGGCAGATGAGGCTCGTTAGCTGGTGACAGCCACTCTTCTAGGAGAGATAACTCCAAAATCAAATAACTGCTCCCTTGTAGTTTGTTCTTGGTTGGACAAAGGCTATGGAAACAAATCCAAAAAGAAAAGCAGGCTGAAATCGGAGTCAATGGCCTCAATGGCGCATAAACAGTTGACACGTATCCTTAATTGTGACGGAGGCGTGGTCGAGTCGGCAAAAAAGCTCATGGTTGATAAATTCGAAAAAGTCTCGAGTTCAAACCCTCTGACAGATAAGGCTCGATCCCTTCCAACATTAAAAAATTAAGAACGAAGAGGAAGAAGAAGACTCAAAAAAGTTGTTAAATTTATTAGTGTTACGTGTTACTTTCCTAATCCCTCTCTCATCGCGTCATTCATCGTCACTAAAGTCCGAAGCTCGATTTCCCTAGAGTGTTACGACATTTTTAAAATTACAATTTTCTAGTAAAATTTTACTGACATATTAAAAAAATTGTTATTTTTTTTTTAAATCATCAAGAAAAAAGATTTCTTCCGTATTTCAAATTTCCTAAAGACCACTTATGACTAAAGACGTTTTTACATGCTCAGGTGACCGACCCCCTACCATGTAAGAACCACTACAGAAACTCAGAAGTGTTCGATAATTGGGGAAGAGTTCAGGAAGTCGCTTTCATCCTGTACTCCAACACCAGAAGGTCAAGGAGATTTTGTTTGACGGCACAAAAACAAACTACATGACCTGGTTCGACAAGTCCAGAGTCAAGTTCTCTTCCTGGAATCAGCTAAAGGACACCGAAACCAACATTTTTTCGATTTCAGGCGATATCAGGGTCAATCTAAAGAGGGCATTCTACATCAACAACTTGTATAATGGATGCGAAGATAAAGGCTGGTTCGTCGCGCTTGACATGGCCTACGGTTCTTGTCCATACGAGAAAATAGACAGATTTCCGGTCTTCTTATATGCAAGACATAATCAACCGGAAAACTTCAACAGTGGAGCCCTCGACAAGGCGGACACGATGGCTATCTTTGTCAAGTACTACAGCACACCATAACGTGTCAGATTGAGGCCCGATACTTGGTCAGTTTAAGTAACGCTTTAAGATAAATAAATAAGGGTGGCATTTAGAATGTTTCTATCTATTAATCTCTGTATGGTTTTGCTTGCTAAGTTATATTACTGGCAACAAAATTGTGTACACATGAAAATGCGCAAAAAAAGCAAATTAAAAAATTATACCCACAGAAAATGTATCACAGGACGCTCAACAATTAGACTTACGGCAATGTGTTTCTGTGTTCTTATGCGTGCTTGTTTGCCTCCTGCCGAAGTCTGGTGGGGACCACCACCTTGATTGTCAGTTCCTCACCATCTGTTTCTCTGGTTGAGATGATCTCTCTCCGTCGCTCACCCTCCGCCACAGTGGGTTCTGAACTCGACATCAACTACACATCAACAGGGGCCGCAACCCAATGAATTACAACTTTATTCTTTATTCTTATCCCCCCTGGTAACAATATGTGTTGCAAATATGAATAATTACTTAAAGTTAAGCAAATACAAGCATAATTATAAACAAATATGCCTAGATTAAAATTTCTTAAATGAAATATAATTTGCTGATACCACATGGGCTATTACAATTTTTTTTAGTATTTACTACGAGCCGGCCCGCGGCATAACATACGCCGCTATTTAGTTGTTGCTTTTTCTACTTTTCAGTAATTCATAATTTGTGAATTCGACAGTACCAACGCTGACACTGAAAATATTTCTTTAAAACACTATAAGCAGCTCGTTAAGGACCATAACCCCCCCCCCCCCCTTTCACCCCTCCCCATGTTTAAAATCGTTTCAAACTAAATTATCTGCCCCTAATAGCCGTCACTAAACCCAACTCCACGAAGGTAAACATAGCGTGAACCACAGCTCACTAAGATCATGTAGGGGTGGGGATGGTAGGGACCGCGCTTGCAGCTTGTTTTCTAACGGCTCGCAGAAGATAATTATATATATAGATAGTAAACTCTAAACTACTTATTAAAGACATGGCCTACACTGTCAACATAGCTAAACAAAAGGAAGTAGGTCTAGGGGGGGGGGGCTATTTCATTTACTATTTAAGATTCTAATTATTTATAGGCCCTAGGCCTAAGCCCTAACTAATACTTTAATTCTTTAATAGTGTCTAACTAATACTTTAATAAATAGCCTACTAGTCTAGATCTAGTAACACTACTGAGTACACACCCGAATCCTAAGAAGATCTAAGGCTAAAATAAAATAGGCCTAGATCTAGGCCCTAAATATTATAGTAAATAAATTTAGTTAAAATAGTAGACCTAAATAATAGGCCTAAATACTAAATGCCTAGACCTATACCAGGTCCTTTTTGCAGTTAAACAATCAAAAGTTAAATAAACCGGAAGTGATCTCCCCTAAACTTTCTCGAGTATTCTTATATAAAACAACAGGGGATCAGAGTTTCTTCCAGGCATCTCTTACCCCGCCCCCCCCCCCCCCCCCCGAATATTTTTTACCGCCCCCCCCCCCCGAACAAAATGAAATTTATATAATTTATATAGAAAATATATACTTTTAACAGTGTTCGCCACCCCCCCCCCCCCCGAAGAAAGTCTACCGCCCCCCCCGAAAATTTCAAGTGCCCCCCCCCCCCCCCGGAGAAAAAAGTCTGGAAGAAACACTGCAGGGGATGGGAACTCGGGCTATAGACATGATTTTTAATCCATTTTAAATACTTAAAGTTTTAAAAATAGAATAAATCTCGTAGACAAAAGAATTGCACACCTAGTGAACGCCAAATAAAAAAGTGCATAACAGTGCGCAATATTATTAGTACTTTAAAAATTTACATTAGTTTTTTGATAAATCGGAAGTAGCGTAAATTACTACTTCCGTTCAACGGAAATTACTCAAAATTTAACAGAAGGTAGAGAATTAGGTCTTTTACTTACATGTGAAATTTCATTTATCTATCTGAAATAGTACTCAAGTTATAGGCTTTTGAAAAATTCAAAGTAGGAAAAGTACCACTTCCGGTTATCGGAAATCGCTCAAAAGTTGATACGGATCTACGATTTTGATAAAATACTTATATATGAAATTTCATCAATCTAGCTGTAACGGTACTCAAGTTATCGTGTTTACATACGGACAGACACACACACACACACAGACATACGGACAGAATTGCAAAGCCCAGTTTTTCAGACTGGATTACGCATAAAACCTCTTAATTTTGATAAATCTGGATTGATAATTTTTGCCCGATTAAAATAAGTCCTCTATACTTCGGATGTGAGGAAGGACTGTGGTGTAATACGGTGAAAATTGTTAAAATTTCAAGTGATTTTTGTGCACGATTACAATACTTTCTCTATACTTCGTATATACGAGAAAGTAAAAAGGAAGTAAAATGGGGGAACAAAGCTTAGTGTACAAAATCTGTAGACTACTTTTTATTATACTTTACAATTATATTACAGTACAATACAAAACAAATTTCTTAGAAAAGGAGGACGCGAAAAGATTAAAATAAGTTGCCGAGTTGGGCCTAACACTGAGACCTAGATATCTAGATCTGATTGAAAACACATATCAACACGATATGCATACGTGGTGCGGTTTCATTGTCAGATTGTTAGATCTATTTTTTATGGTGTAAAAATGTAATAACTAAACTACGTTACGTTTTTGTAGCCTAACATCTAGTATTCGACTAACAACCGGAAAATCGGAAAACAACTGTAATAGAGATATTTTAATTTTTAAATTATCTAGACAGATTCTAGATCTAGACTAGTTTTAGAAAGTATTGATGTATATCTCCTATAACAATATCTTCGGGTATATAGTCTTTTAAACTTAGTTAAAATAAACAAAAGCTAAGATACAATTATTTAAAAGTATCCCAGTAGTTTTAACTTGATCTCTTTAATAGAAGAGGTAATAATTATAAGTCTACTAGTAGTATTAGTAGTTGTAATATCAAATTACAAATATGACTATTTAGTATTTAGTAAAATTATTCAGCAGTGTCACACCAAATCGGATGCCATTTGTCCATGGGCGGAGCTACAATGCCGCAAGACCCAATATTGCGAGGGGTGGGGGCAGACCGTTTAGGGGCCCACAGCCGAATATAATTAATTTGTTCATAATTAAAAAATGTAATTTTTGTGCATTTTTGACTGGATAGTTGATTTGTAAATAGAGAACTGTACCAGCGGTTGGATTTTCTTTATTCTATTGTAATCTCTAGACACTAAACACTATCACGCGCTCACATTTGATCAGACACTAGTTAGCGGATGTTACTTTAGTAGCATAATATTAATTAGTTTGATGAATCTTATTCATAAAATAAGGTAAGACTATTTTTATATTATTAGTAAATGAATTAATTGAACCTTTATAATAAACGAGCCGACCCGCAGCGTATCATACGCCGCTATTTAGTTGTTTTATTTTCTACTTTTCAGTAATTCATAATTTGTGAATTCGACAGTACCAATGCTGCCACTGAAAATATTTGCTTTAAAACACTAACCCCCCCTTTCCCCTAACCCTAACCCCGACCCTACACCCCCCCCCGTGAAAGCAGCCTCCTCTTAGTTATTTCTTAGTTACCTCCTGTAAGTTTAAAATCGAACTAAATTATCTGCCCCTAATAGAAACCCGGCTCTACGATTTGTAAACATTTAGCTTTGTAAACACATTTAGCGTGACTACAGCTCACCAGACAATGTGGGGGTGGGGTGGAGGTGGTAGTGATAGTGATAGAGAGAAAGAGAGGGGACTGCAAGGAGGCGCTTGCAGCTTGTTTTCTAACGCCCCCCCCCCCCCCCCAGAAGAGAATTATATATATAGATTAATATTGTTAAATGACGTCATTTAGAGGTTGGGTCTGGCCTTTTGCGCGTCATAAAAAAAGCATGACGTGATTTATGGATGTCCCCTAAATCAGAAAGTTTCACTCCGAGTGAACTGGGCACAATGCACATACATTTGTACATGAGAACATTGTGTGTCCGTCTTTTATGCATTACCATACCCTTCATGCTATTGTAATGAAAATTTGGAAAGTCTTTGAGTACACTCCCGCGATGGACTATGTGATAGGTCTAACATTTGTTTAAATATTGGAGTGACGGCTTCCCACGGAAATCCCCTTGACACCTTTGGTCCGCTTATTGAGTGTCATGCACAGGGTGATAGGTGTACTACTTGAATCACCAGGCTCGCCACCTTAGGGGCCTCCGCCAGGGACCGTGTCCCAAGAGCCGCGCGACGCCTCTTTCACTATCAGCGTAAACCGGGCGTGTTTGTGGTAGTGTGGACAAACTAGCGCCCCATCACTAAGTTGGGGTGTCTCAATGGTAGTGTGGACAAATTAGCGCCCTAACAACTAAACTGGGGCGTCTCGGTGGTTGTGTGGACAAACTAGCGCCTCAACAACTAAGATCAAAGCAATAAAGTGCCGACATGGTTTACATTTAATTACCACTGTTCTAGAAAACAAGACAAACGTCTAAAATAAATACACGATTGGTAACGTGCTGGTGGAAACCTCATTAAAAAAAAGCTGCGTCAGTTTGGTGTGTAGGACTAAATTTCAAATGTCGGTGCTTCTCACTTAGTTTATTAATGTGACCAGCTCACAGAAAAACAAAAAATAACGAGTAATAATAATAAAAAAAAGCTTGTTATTA